TAAAATAACCAAAGATATATATCCACGGATTTTTTGACAAAGTTTTTGCCGTTTTATTTTTATGAAATATTCAAAGTATCTATCCACGATTTTAAAAGTGTATTACTTTCCAACATTAATTATGTTCTTTTCTCAAATTTTATTCTATCAGGAAATTAATAATATTATAAATATATTATTATATTTTCATTGACTATAACTAGTTAAGTTATATAATAAGCACAACATAAATTATTATTACTATATATATTACTTGCTCTATTTAAAAATAATGTTATAATTATATGTTAAACATGTCTATTTAAAATGTTACTTGCCTCGAGTACTAATTATAAAACTAGGTGAGGTTAAAGTAATTTGGCTGATGTACAAAATTAGTTATTTATAAAGTAAACTTCATATTTAGGTATTAGTTTAAAATTTTATTCCCTAACCGGATTTGAAAAGCCACATTTTTGTAGGTGTCTACTTATTTCTTAAGCAAATATTAACGGGTTTCTGAATCGATAAAAAATCAATAATGTTGAAAGTAAGAATAAATAGTGATGTTTTAAAAAATCTAAATTCTGTCACGCAATGGAGATATTTGTGGTATGAATGCAACATTCCAAAATGATCATTATTTGGAGACAAATACAACTGCATATTTTTTAGATATGGAGGAGCTAGGGGCTTCTTGTAACAGTTTGTTTTTAAATAAACATACCTTAAGACCCACTGAATATATTTCTACTAAATGAAATTGAATAAATGATATAACTATTCCTCTCCCAAATAGAAAAAAAATTCTATAACTATTGTTCATTATTTTACAATTAATCAATTTCTAGAAGAGGGCTGTTGTAATATCTACTAGGGCAAGTAGTAACGACCAAAAATGACAATAATATCTAATAATTTATACTTTTTTTTTGGAAATATTTTTTAAATGTTACAACTAGTCTCAAGATTTTGTTTCAAGTAACCCCAGGTGTGATTTTTTTTACAAATCAATTTAACTATTTAAATAAGTTGGCATTCACAAAAAATGTTACACATTATCTCGGATAATTTATTCTTTTTTTTTTAAGAAATATTTTCTAAATGTTACAACTAGACTCAAGATTTTGTTTCAACTAACCCCAGATGTGATTTTTTACATTTATCAAGATAACTATTTAAATAAGTTGGCACTCACAAAAATTGTTACACATTATCAAAGACTGATAAATTTGAAACGAAACAAGATATATAAAATTCAAAATAAGCCGACTATTATAAGTAAAAAATGACGCACCTGCGCAGTCCTGTATACTGCTTCGGCCTGCGGGACGGTAGCTATGCTAGTAAGATACAGGTCAGTATACATGTCCAATCGAGATCGAAAAAAATATTTTATTAGCGTTCAAGATCCTATTTAAAGATGCCTGTTACAATAAGCCCCTATCGCTCCTATATGCTTTTCATTGAACAGCAAAATAGAGATAAATATTTTAAATTAAATTTTGAGTTTAAAACAATTAAAAAAACTCCTTTTATAACTGTGGATGTACAAAACGTCCTTCATTTTTTTATATAATTTAACTTCTCGTATTTGTACAACTACCCCTAATGTTATTTTTGAACGTGCTCGGCTTCTGTAAACAAGAGTGAAAAAGTCCTTTGTTTTTCCACAATTACGTTAGGGAATTTGTTATCGTGTCTGCTTCAACTTGTCAAAGGGCCCAAAAGGTTATCTCTGTGTTCAAAAAGGATGTCAAAGGGGATATTCAGGTTTTCATGACTTGAATAAAGATGTATGTTCATACCCGTGTAATTCGAAACTAATGAATGGATCGTCATTGTTTTTTGTTATTCACTGAACGCTTTGGATTGTTTTGAACCAAAGAATCTTTGTGGGTAAGGCCAACTGTTGACAACTTACTCTCCAATTTTATTTAGCAACTATCCTATCCACACCAAATAGTTTTCTTCCACCGTGGCCTATAACCTTTATATCAATCTACCAATTCCATCACATTTCTCACTCGACTGGATTTCTTTACAATTTTTTTCCGACCAACTACAATGAGCATTGATCCAATCTCGTTACCCACGTGACGGTCTAATCTCTTGTGAGATTTCGCACGTGCGAGAGGGAACTCGAATGGTTTCTTGCACGTGCTACGCACATTATTCCACAAACGAAACGTAGTGTTGGATGATATAATGGGACTCCAGACGAGACCAGTTTGCATTAGCAAATTGATTATATCCTTATAAGGAGGATGATGGTGATTGTGAGAAAAGATGAGGACTATTTGGATTTTTCTGTATTACAATGGAACGTTGCATAGTCAAATTATCTAACGTCTTGAGGCGAGGAACTGTTTTTCACGTTATAGTTTTTTTTCTTCTCAATTATACAATTGCAATCTCCCTAGGAAGTAATTTAGAAATTTAAGTAGTCAGTGTAATAGTGATTCGTTGGTGAAATGTTATCCTAATTAGGAAATTTATTCATTATATTAATTGCATACAAATTTGCTAAGCCTATGTTTTTAATTAGTGGCTATATTCAATAAATAATTTATATGTTTTATATTAAATAAATTTTTTAACGAAAAACATGTACAATTGTGACGGGTACTCTTTCGTGACCTCTTGGTACTTATGTTAAATCATTAATCACTGGAGCAAGATTTTAAGGATTTTTAGACCCCCCTTCCCTCTTGATGATACATGGTGATATGGTGATACATGGTGATATTCAAATATACCCCCTCGTCTCCCACCAAACATCACGTGAATTTTTAGTTTTAGTTTAATTTTTGATTTTTTTTTTAAAGTGTTTGATTTTTTTTAAATAAGTTAAAAAATAAATACACGTTATATCTTACTATATACCCTTCCCTCCCCCACCTGATATTTTGTGATTTTTTGTGAACCCCTTCTCTCCCTAAAAACCTCACGTGATTAATGGACGCCCCCATACGCTTAATGTGCATCATTCAATGGATTTTCATAATTCAATCACTTTTTTCAGATGTATAACATTTTACGTTTAGAGATTATGAACTCTATCATTATCTAAAGTTCTATTTCAATCGTAAAAAAAGAATAAATAATCACCATCTCATCTGATCTCTTCAAAACAATTGAATTTTAATTCAGCTCAGAATTTTTGGTAAAAACTTAGACCAATATTTTTGAATTTATTCTCTAATTATGATAAAAAGGATCAGCAGATCGCTGCACAAAATTGATCGACGAGGGTTCATGTTAAGTTTCATAAAAAAAAAATTTTTTTTTTTAAATCGATACAGCTTTTTGATAAAAACTTCCACGAAAGGTCAAATTTTGTTTCAGGGTCATACTCTTTCCCATTTTCGTGTCAAACGATTCAGAATATGAAGAAAACATAAAATCAGAATATTCATGTCCTTCAAGAAGTTAAAAATGTCATTTCAGAAATAAGTAGACAATTGGACAACTATTTTTGCTGAGAAAAACTAAATGGAGTTTAGGATAAGCTAGGAATAGAATTAATATTTGATGATAACTTCTCTCATCTATTCCCAGTAACTTTTGTTTACATAAGGATTTGAAAATCCTTACAGTCAACTATATGATCAAAATTAGAAATTCTTCTTTCAACAATAAATTAATCCAGCATAAAAAATCCTACAATTCAAGCCTTTCACAGACCTTTAAGATTCGCAGACCTTTAAGAAGACTAAGCAAGAAATGGCCTTCCGATCTACCAAACACCTAGCTCAATAGTTAATTTATGTTATTATTTTTGTATTATTGTTATTATTTTATTTTATTCTAACTTTGTTTCATCTTATATTAATTTTTTTGTATTATTTCTTTTTCCACCTTTCAATTTTGTAAATAAGACATTAAAGTCTTGATTAACTAAAATAAATTACAACAAAATTGATAATCTATTCCCAGTTATTATTTTTGTCCTAGTCATTCCATTAGCTTTTTCTAGAAGATTGAATAATGTCGTACGCAGAATTGCATAATAACGGCATATATATATACATATATGTGTATATATATATATATATATATATATATATATATCTTGTTCATTTTGACACCTGTCTCGCGAAATGAAATATATCCAATCATTTGATTGACAGGACAAACCACACGGATATTTTTTGAAATTATCCATGAAATTTCTTTGCCTCATCGATTTGCCAATGCGAATTCTTGAAATGTAGTCATGGGAGTGTTCATAAAAGACATAATGGGAATGGAAGTCGAAGACATGAGCATAATTATTTGTTTATAGTACATTTTCACATACGAGAAATGATAAAATGTGGTACACATTTCAAATAAAAGTTTGTAGAAGAAAATTTGGTATGAAAGCAGATGTACTATCACTACATTTGAGTTCGTAGCATTTTCACCTCTTATATTGTAAAAAGATAAGAATTATTTTACATTTATTTATTTTTTTACCATCAATAGTTTTTTTCGGTCTTGATACATTTGGTAATGCAATACATACTCTTATTTAAAAATGATTTCCCTATTGATTTAGTTAATTAAAGATTTTTTTTTCATATTCATGCATACAATTTCGAAATCTTAAAACACCTTTCTTCTTCTCACTTTTATATACATCATCACTGGTTTAGTACATAATTTTCAAGTATTTAATAAAAACTATTTATATATTTTTATAGCACTAATTTCTACAAGAAAATATCATCTTTCTTTCTATTTTTAATATTAGTATCAATTTATTTTGATAAAAATTTCCAGTCTCCCAGTCTGGCCCCATCTCGACTTGATTTATACTTCATCGAATTATCAATAATTCGCTTTTCTCTTCCCTTTTTGGAATGATGTACTGACAAATGTTTTACTACAGGGTGCTTATCAAATTACGTAGAATTTAAGGGGTGTATAATAATATTTGATGTATACAAACTTGGGTAAAAACTATAGTATTTATTTCTAAAATTATCTTTGCATGAAAATTGCAGAATTATTTAAACAATACCAACTGGATAAAGCACTTAATTCAACACACACACACATGTATATATATATATATATATATATATATATATAATATACATACATATATATATTCTTATTGCAGTAATGTTGTGTCGCATATGGCGCATAATCTCAGACGATATACATTACAATAAATCTTTTCCGAAACCTTTTTCCTATTTTCTCCAACATTTTCCTTTTCTTATGCTAAAAGCTTTCCATTTTAAACTTTCTTGAAAGAACAATGCTGCACATTGACAATGCCGAAAATCTATTGTGTCTCAAAAGTTTATTACCCGTATCGTGATTTTGATGCCACATTAATGTATTTATAAATGGACATATATTTATATACGTAATATTCTTATGTGATTCTTGAATTTTATGTCGATATAATATAGATGAGTTAATTTCTGATAATTCTGAGTTTTAGGTAAATAAAATAACTAACCTAACATATATGCAGTTCGACATTGTAATTAATATTAAATAAAACAACACTAAATTACCATGACATGAGGACTATGTTAATAAATTTTGGGTGCATCACAAAAAGTTAATATTTGCATAGTTTTTTGTAAAAGCCTAAACTACGAAGAGTTTCATTTCATGACTTCATTAAATCAATTTATAATTCAAAAACAGTATAAAGATGAGTTGTCATTCTGCTTGTTTATGACACTATTATTGTATAATTGTATGAAACAACCCTCAGAAAATCGTCGTCTAAAAATATCACCTCCTGTATTTTTCCAATATTGGATCTTTGTCTACATCCACCAGACAGTTTTTTTCTGTCTATACATTTAATCACCATGTATAAAATATACTCCTAGTATTATGGACTCAGTCAGCAGTTTTCACTTTTCTTTCCAAAGCGTTTTTCACGCTCCGAAGAACCAAAAAAAATTTCCTCGTCGATATAAAAGTGTTTTTTTTTGTCTTGAATCGTTTGATTTGCGTATGCAGATATTTTTTTGCTGAATAAAATTGATTTCAGAATAAATTTATTGATATTGCATTGGATAGAAGAGATTTAAATATTAAATTTCCTCGATGAATTATGAGGTGTCTATAAAGTGATAGTTTTATATTAATTTTTGAATCAATTTAGAAATTAACAAGTTGTTAATAAAGGTCTATGTTCTGTGGGTATAATAATATAAATATGAAATATGAAATAAAAAAAATCATTTTATGACATTTTATGTGATTGTGCTTGAGGGTGATTTGATTGCTTCCTCTATTAATTTCTAAATATTTTTAGTATGTTATTAGTAGTACTATTCTTTCATCAGATTTTTTTAGTATTGCGCTGATGATAACACAGACTATGATTCGAAACATTTGGCAGATCCCTTCTCTATTCAGCCTTGGCCATTTACCATTTACTTTGACTTAAACATAACATCACCTACTATTATTTCACATACAATGTCTTTACATGTTTCATCCCTTACTAAAGATATAATTACCACATTGAATATGACCTAATGGAGGGTGCCCTTACAGAGTATTTTGCATTTGCAGACACTGCATATGAGGATCCTCTGAAATGGACAGTGATCGTAAATAATAATATTCACCACTAATTAGGGTCGCATTCATAACCTACCTATCATTTGCACTGACCATGGGGTGAATAGCTTTAGGGGTTGAAAGTTTAGACAGGATTGTAGATTTATATATGATATTGGGATTTGTACTTGGACATTTCGAGTTTTGAGTTTTGAGCGTTATAAAAGTTTAGGTTGGCAGTTGTAAAGTGAAATTTTGATATTAGTTGGTAACTCGTAAATCGATCGAAGGCCGGTCTTTGGTGTGGGCAATACTACATTTTTACCCACTATGTTTTCTTTTAAGTTGTAATTGACCTTTTTTGTTTTCATTTTTTCTATTCTCATGTGTTTGGTGTGTTTCCTCTTCTCCACCAAGTCGTCAGTCAACTACATTCTTCTTCAAAACCATTTTTATCATCCAGAAAGCTCTCTGTTTCCAATTGCATTGCTTTCGAAAATCCACCTTATTTTTTAAGGGCGTATCATATATTATTTTTCTGCAATTTATATCTGAATGCGTGCAGTTTATTACTACTGGCTTTTCAAATTATAACGTGATCCATGTTGGACATAAACTATCTTCCGGTACTTTCTACATCATGATTTCGAAACTGATTTTATAACAATATATAAGACTTTATGACAATACTAGTTTGTTTATTGTTTACTTGTTAAACAATAAAGCACGTTGTATTGTTTTCATAATTCATGTATTTCAAGCTGTTTGGAAGTAACTGTTTTCAATGTCTCAATGTCAATTTTAGTCCTTAGTTTATTGAAATAATCTTTAAAATAATCTATTATATCATACACGTTCAGATTTTAGAAGTTTAGTAATGTCCTGTTCTAATTTTACCAAGAAGTTTCAAATATATTATAAATTTTATTTAAATTAGTTGATGTGTATTTCTTTAATTTATTATAGGGCTTTGCAAATAAATTAAGGCAAATTAGAATAGACAAAGAAATATTCAGAACTTGAATATAATCATACTCTTGAAAATTATCCATTATTGTACATTCTCCTTTACTAACTTTGACGACTCTTCTTCTAGAATTCTGCATTTGACAATTTTACGGCCATTCCCAATTCATCTGACAAATAATTTCCTTCAAGCCCATTTTACCATCTTACAACGACTCCTAAGAAAATTGTTAATTCTCTGTCGTAGGACGTGCGGTTATGTCCGCTCATGAATAAGTTTTAATCAAGACATCCTTTGGAGAGAATGGGTTGTCAGTATGACTGGTGGGGTTTTAATAGCTCCAGTGGGTTACTTGAGAAAATGGACGTTGTGGATTTAGGTCGGATGTTGGAGATAATTGGAATAATATTGCAAACACATACATGTATAATAGAAATTTAATATTGCGAATGGGTGTTCCGCAAGGTTCGGTTCTCGGGTCAATCGATATTTGTGATTGAATTGAAAAAAAAAAATGAAATTGGTTTGAGAGAGAGATGTCTTCTTGAAACAATGAAAAGACTAAAATAGTGGTTTATACGGATTAGTGGTTTACTTGAGGCAATACTAAAACTAATCCTGTACTTAAATGTGATAGATTCATCTAAGTCAGTTTTTATTATTTTTTATTATGGGTGATGCAGCCCTTCGTGTATGCATTACTCCCCAACTTGCATATTTTGTGAAACTTAATGAGAATTTACGATACGTTCTGCGGTTTTAATTTTCAACACAGACCCCCCAAAGTTCGCATTATTGCCATTTCTGCGGCACTTGGAAATTCGTCCTAAGTACCCTCGAGTAGGCGTGAGTGCATCCGAAATGCCGGGACAATATATTACTTGTACTCCAAAATATTAATTATGACATTGGGTTGTTCTAAAGCTGTTTTCACACGAAGAAGGACAGATACCAGTTTGTATGGAAAATAATATCACACTGGTCAATTCAGCTCTATAAGAGTCTATAAATTCTCAGCTTGACTTCTGTTTTTACATCGAAGGCACTTTTTGTTAATATGGGTCCTATCCAGTTTTTTTTTTCACAGTGATATCTGGATAGAGAGATGTTCCTTATTTTCATTTTTTACCTTAACTTTTCACAACTCTCAGATAAATTTTAATGGGCTTTTCTTAGAGTACCAACATGTCACTGATCTGTACAGAGCCAATTTCTGAAGTAGTGTCATGTGATTATATACAAGTATTAAAAATATTTATTTCTATTCATATCCTTTGAATGTAAAAACAATAAATAGTGTTCTGTACGAAATTATCCTTGAAATTTATTTATTGACACCTGATCTGCATATGTGGATCATTCAACTCGGTTTATGAGAACTGTGCTGATGGTATCATTGTTCGCATTGTGGTTTTAGTTGTCTTAGAAAACTAGTTTAAATGCTTTTAACATGCGTAAAACGTGTTGAAACAAAACATTGTAAAAGTTACACTTCAAGAAAAACTTGAAATCTAGAAGTAGTTGTACAAAAATGCCCTAAAATATATTTGACACAAAGTTGCTCATTTGCGAAAAGTGATTTTTGTGCAACTTACCATAATATACAATGGTTAATTTTTTTTTTGCTCATTTGCTTATTTTTATTTGTCTTCTTTTAAAACAGCTTCTGCTGGTTTCACAGATCAGCTTCAGCTTTTTTTAACTAATCCGACTGTTGATACATAATCCTAATGTCTATTTATCACTGGTGTGAATAATTTCTTATATATTACAGTAATGCGTTTTTTATATTATATTATGTGATAATGCACCACTTAAAAGGCATTTCTGTTTGAAATTCTACTTATCGTAATAACATAGTGCATTGATCTCTAAGGCTTCTTTTAAGAAGTGCTTGCTGTTTTATCAGGAAATATATTAATGTTGATTGATGGGGAAAGCTAATTAAGTGATTTTGATACAGAATTAATTAGTTTGAAATAATTTTCTCATAGATTAAAAGCATAGAAAGTGTTTGAAAACACCAGATAGCAGCAAGTACGATATAATATTTTTAATCGGTCTATAATATTTTTGAAGGATTGTTTACCCAGGCATTTTATCACGATACAAGTTTCCATCAAATTCCATGTAAAATTTTCCCGAAATAAATTTTTCTTACTTAGTCTAATGGAAATTCTCGTCTCTTATGATGATGTGCAAAACAAACAAAAGCAAATCAACATCCAGCACGTTTATTTAATAAAGATACAATTAATTCATGAATAAATTTATATTCATGAATTCATACATTATGCAATCCGCATGCGCATTAATTTCTACAGTCTGTGGTCATCACAACTAGTTCATTATTATGCGAAATTCATTCAAATGTGTCTAATCATATGTTATTAAGGCAAACTGTATTATAATTTTATTATGGAAATATAAATAAGAAATGTAACAGGAAAAATTTACAAAAATGATAAAAGAACGTGAAGGTAATATGGTAGAAATAATACTTATTTCTTGCGGATCACGAATGGCTAAAATATTTATAAGAGCAAACTGATAT